TAAATTTCAAATTTCATGAGCAACGTTGACAAAAGGGAGGCGCTTGAGAACTTGGATCTAATTCTTTTCTGTCTTGATGAGATTGTGGATGGAGGGTATGCTTGTGTTTCTTAGTTAGAATTTTACGTTCTCATTAAAATTCTAATTATTTTCTGATTACCTTTTTACCGCCTTCGTTTAAGGATGATACTTGAAACTAATGAATCTATCATTTGACAAGAACACTTCTGAAATGATGTTTACAAGAACAGGAGTGGATTCATCCATATTTGAATTGTCTTAGTTTTCCTTTGTTAGCGACAGTCATTTTGTCCTCCAATTTGTTGAGCTTGAGACTGGAGGGATCATACCATTCCGGCCACTCCACTGATCGAAGATTCTCGAGAAGTGATTTATTCCTTTTCTCTAAAATATGTCTAAAATTATGTGCTTATTACGTATTGGTTGACCTTTACGACATATATATTTGAGAGTATAATCAATTTTATAATTAAAGGAACCGGGTACGTCATTGCATACAGTTTAAAGGATTCTACGTGTTGGTCTCGTAGTCTTTGACTGAATATAATATTCTATTATGACGCATATGCCTAAAATTTGTGCCAAGGATTTCTAATTTGATTATGGAGTATGTGAAGCTAAAATATTTCAAGATTGATATGTGATGGCAAATACTAAGAAAGCAGTTAATATGTAAAGGATATGCACGTTTCATGATCTTTGCCTGGAGGAGAATAAAACTAGTGACATTCTATTGTGGTCCAGCATGGTTTCGTGATGCTGGTTTTAACAAAAGGAATCGTACAGACTGAGTTCATTTATTTTCCGCTTCATTCGTACTTAGTGAATGAAAGAATACTGTTTGTTTTAGATTCCTTTTTTTTTTTTTTTCCCTTCCTGGAGAAGGTGAGGACATGGAATGCAAGTTTGTTAAATGGAGGTCCATATCCCTAACATAAAGGAATAATGATTGGCCTTGAATGAAAAATATCAAGAATTGTTCATCTACTTAGCCGCGACGTCCCAAATACAAAATGTAAACTTATTGGAGACTCCACTGAAATATGCGGTGTTTAGGTTCCATGCACTTATTATTACCATCTTAGGTTAATATAAGAGTTAGTTTAATATTTAATTTGATTTTAAATATAAGACTTCAATCAATTTTATCTCTTATATTTATTTATTTTTCTTAAAATAGTTCTTATAGTAATTACACATATAAAATATTTTAGTAAATGACACTTGATTAGCAATAGTATTTTAGGAAAGATAACATATACTACCTCCAGTCCTTAATATGAGAGCTCGTTTGACTTTTATTTTTATCTTAATTATAAGACTCTAATCCACTTTGTCTTAATCCTTATAATAATAATAGTTCTAGCCACTATATTTGATTAATAAGAATATTTCAGGAAAAGACAATACATACTACCTCCGGTCCTAATTATAAAACCTCATTTGTAAACTACAAACGAGATCTTATAATTAAGACGGGAGGTAGTATTCATTATCAATAACTAACTTAACTAGTTTTCTTAATCTATTCAAATTAGTTAACTAGCTTTTATATTAAAGACTAGAGGTATTATTTATTACAAATAACTAACTTAACTAATTTTCTTAATCTATTCAAATTAGTCAATTATTATTATTTTGGCTAGTAGTTTATAAAACTGCTTTGCAGATAGTGTCAAGAACTGCCTCTTGTCTTAAGTTTAGTAAATCAAAATCCATTAAGATTCGTCCTAAGGCGGGAAAGGTAAGATTGAAGAATCTTTTCTTTTGGTTGTCGCTTTAGCCATTATTTTCTATAAATTATTTAGTGTGAATAGTGTTGTAAATGATCAAGTCATAATTCAATTTTGATCAATATTGTATAAGACTGACTCCAATCTTTAAAATTAGTTTAAGAAATATGTTAAAATTAGTTTAAAATAATAAATATGTAAAAAATAAACTTTTTTTTGGGCAGATATATCCTTATCTATAAAGGGGCAAGTGAGAGAGAGAGAGAGAGAGAAATAGTGAAAAAAATAAAAGAGAATGTATGAAAAAAGAAAAAAGATAACAACAGATAATAGAAATAATTAGGAGTAAAATTTGTAAAAACAAAAACATTTTAATATTCATACAACTCCAAACTGGATCTTATCAAACCAATTCAAAAATTAAGACGTGAGGGAGTACTAATCATATTAATTAATTATTTTCCCACAAATAACAAAGTAGTAACTTGTAATCCTCAAAACAAACAGGAATTTAAAGGGCTGAGTTATAAGTGAGTTAAAAATTGAAGGATTAAAAAATTAATTTCTCTCAAATAATATATAAAGGATATACGTTACATGGATATTGTCTGGACGAGAGTAAAATTTGTGACATTTTATTGGGGTCCAATGTGATTTTGTGATGCTGTTTTAACAAAGGATTCGTGGAAAAAAGATTTGGAGTTCCATTATTTTGTTGCTTCATTAGTGGTTACGAAATAGAGGAATGCAGCTTTTAATTTTTGTTTTTCTAGGTTCTTTCTTTTCAAGAAACTGCTTTTGTTTTTTGATTTTTTTAGTTTCTTTCATTTTCGGAAAGTGAAGACATGGAGTGCCAAGTTTGTCAAATAGAGGTTCATGTCTTTCCTATAAAGGAACAAAGATTTGACTTGAACAGAAATAACAATAATTATTCACTCATTTTAGTGGACGCATCCCAAATACAAAATGTAAACTTAATGGACACTCAATTAATGAAATAGCCGGAGTATATGTTACAGGTACTTACTATTATTCTTTTTGTTCTATTTATAAGTCATTTTCAATATGTTTCACATAAATCAAGAAAAAACTTAAACTTCATTAACTCTCATTTAAAATTTAATAACTTTCCAACTTTATTCCTATTTAATATACATTATACCTCATGTAAACAAAGTCAACATAGTAATAAATGAAGGTTAAAATTATACATCCATACAAAAAATTTCTCTTAGTACCTTATAAATAGGACCAAATAATGTATTCTCTCTTTGCCTTATAAATAGAACCATAGAAGTATTATCTTGGCTAGTAGTTTTATAAAATTATTAGATATGATTATTCTTAGTAAAAAAGAAAAACAGATATGGTTACTCTATTTAAGCTCCCAAAATCTTAAAAAGCTCATTGAAGAGGCATTCAACTCAAAACACTGCTTTGTAGCCAGTGTCAAGAACTGCATCTTATCTTGAGTTTAGTAAATCAGGATCGTAAGAACCGTCCTATATAAGCCTAAAAAGGTAAGATTAAAGAATTTTTTGTTGTTGTATATTTTCTATAAATCATTTTCTATTTTGCGTGAACAATGCAGTAAATTGTCATGACTCAAAATTTGAGCCGTGATCCGCGTATTGACCAAGCCAATACAATTAAGTACACTTGGTTTAGCTAGCTTGGATTAAAACCACATTCACACCAATACACCATACAACCTAAAAGTGTTTAAAGAAAATTAGCCCTCATTTTCTCACCTCACCAAAAGGGTCGGACTCTCTCACCAAAAGGAGGGGGTTCGATCCTGGGGAATGCCACTTTGTTGTGGCTCCAGTTGTGGCGCTGGGGGAGGCATCTCCACAGCGTAGTAAAGTTGGCAGATTCCTACCTATTGGGCCAGCAAAAAAAAAAAAGGACTTGCTTGTCATGCTCTCGTGTCCATAGGGATAGGCCCCAGAGGATCAAGCATTAGGTGCCCTGCCTTTGGATTGTGGGTGAGCCCAACCTCTTTCTTAAAATTTTGGTATAAAAAAAAATTAGCCTTCATTTGTATCAAAACAAATCACAGTTTGCATAATGCAAGGTACCAATTTCAAAACAAATTAGCCAACATTAGTCAAGCATTATTTAAACAAACGTTCAACATAAATTTGAAGCTGACACGATCGACACAATAACACTAACCCCTCCATAGTAGCCATGACACCATGGGATACTACGTCGTCATTATTCTAGCTTGTCCTACTCAACCTGTGTCCACAAAGTGCAACAACAGAGCTCTCTAGCATGCTGATCTGCAAAGTAATGAAAAAGGGGTCAGTCTATTATTGACTCAATGAGTCACAAATAACAAAGTGTGAGGAAGTCAAGCAATGACATATAAGAATTTTTCCAAAACATATTTTCAAGAAGAGAAGTTAAAACAAATATGATCAAAACCAGGCTATAACAATAGCCAATAATCACAAGGCATTCAACCACAACTATCTTTTCACTTATACACCTCACATCACAATCTTTACCAGTGAATAAGCGTTCCACCTACATTATAGCATATTTTGTTTGTCTATATATATATATATATATATATATAAGTATGAGGAATAACTGACCTCCTTAATTTATAGTACATCAAGTATACCTCTCATATGTATAAGCACGGGGAATAACCATCCAACACACATACATATATCCTCTTCTAGAGGAATAACCATCTCACCTAAATGTAGATATATAAGTATCTATGTGTGCATATATCAGTAGCTTACTTATGAAATCCAGAGGAGATAAAAGCTTCACTGCAGAAGTCGAACTCCCTTCTAAACAAACTGAAATCCAACAAATTATACATCGGACTTATGAAAGCCAACTTTTTAAATGGACAAAATTACAAGAAGATATCCTAAATCTAAATCATCTCAAGTTTTGGTTGATGATTTCACTTCACTGATGCTTTTTTTATTATGGTATGTAATGAAGCTATGCTATGCATACCAAGTTTCCAATTATGTTATGCCTTAACGGACTTCCGCATCAAGGAACATATAAGTGAAGTTGTCTGAAGATATATACCCATTGTAAGAAGCCAATTTGAAAGCCTAATAGTGGAAATAATTGGATTCAAACTTATCAATGGAATTAAATATATTGCAGAGCAGCATATTTTATTTAAAAGCACCAAAGTCAAATTTAATAGATAAAATGTAAAAGAGAGATACATACCGATCAAGTAATGGATTATAGCCAGGTAATCTATTTCTCACGACTATGATCCTTTGTAGATTCCAAATTCAATTGGGACGGCAGGAGGAGCACTTTATCGACATCATGAGAAGTCTTGGACTCAGGATTCTGGGGAATAGATTGAATGATTGAAGACTCCTTCAATTTCTTTGTTAAAGGGAGTTGGTACTGGTCATCATCAATATTTCGAGGCCTCTTTTTTTTCATACCTCCTTTCAATTTTTTTTGTTGAAGAAGGAAGTTTTTGTACTCTGAGACATGTATTGGCCGAACTCCACATTCTTTGATCCAGCAATTGTACTCTTCAGAATTGCAATTATTGGTATAATAATCACCAAAATGAAATTTAAATTCCAGCTCCTCATCATGACCTTTTCCCTTTTTTCGGAGTTTCTGTAGTATGAGTTCACTGTAGAGGGGATCGTACCATAGAAAAACATTATCTGAATTCAATTTTACCATTGAATAGTGCCATCCTAATGGACCTTTCCAATTGTTACCATAGATCCAACTCCTATCTTCACTCCTATCAGACGATACACTCAAGTCATGTAAATTGAAATAACATGACGAGTGACATTCATCCCTTTTTTTTGAGGAGAACTGGGGTATAACAAAGCAGAAAATGAAACCCATTAAGTTGTCAAAATCTAGAGCAAACTGAACACCGATCCTCACTTCTGAAAGGTCATAATTCATTGTTGAACTTTTATAAGTAAACCATTCTGGAATAAGACTTCCTTCAAAATTGCCACATTTTCCTTGATTCAAGGAGAAACTAGCATATTTTAGGATCCCATTAAATGAATTCTCATCAGCATCATGACAAGTCTCTTTTTGGGTACCCAAGTTTGACTGCAATTCCATTTGTTGAATGAAGTTGGGATATTCCGAGGCATATATTGGCAAGACTCCACATTCTTCAATCACACCATCAACATCCCCACTCTCTGCAACAAGACTGAATTCAAATAGCAACTTTGGTCTATAATTGGTGTTTTGATCGTCCATCTTGTTATGGAAGCCCCTGAATGTGCAAGGTCGACACCACAGAAAAACTTGATGTGAATCTAAATTTGTCATATTTCCCATAAAGCTTGTCGTAATCCATGGAAAACCATCACCAACATACAGTTTGCATTCAAAGTAGGTGGGAGGGTATCGAGAAAGAACACAGCAGAAAATGAAGCCAATTAGGTCGCTGGTGGGGAAAGGAAGCTCAATAGTTATATTTTTGGAAGCCTCTACTGCCTGATTAAATCTAAACCACCCTGGAGCTTTTCTTCCGGAGTAGTAAATGCAACCTTCTTTTTGTGCGTATACCAGTCGCCTCAATAAGAAATAAGCACTTTCCATAACATGCGTTTCCAATGATATGCAACCTTGGGCATCAATATGTTCAAAGAACGGCGGTAGCTCTGGTAGAGAACGAAGTCTTCTACAATTGCTCAACTTAATTCGTTCTAGATTTGAAAGATGCTTGAAGTTTGAACCCGGCGTTATTTCATCTGTCGACAATGAAGATTCAATATGAGAAGTGAATTGTAGTGTCTTTAATGATGTGCATTCGACGGCATCTAATACTTCAATGGATGGAGGAAGCTCGGGTAAAGATTGAAGGTCCTTGCAACCGCTTACGTTAAGATGTTGTAGCCTTGAGAGATGCTTGGTATTGTTTGGAAGTTCAGTCAATTTGCATGTCCCGCTCAAATCAATTGTTTGTAGAGATAGCAAAGCATCAAATAAGCCATGAAGCTTTGATTTGTCAATTGTTCCTCCACAATCATAAAGATGAAGCTCCTCGAGAGATCTCATGTAACAGATGTCATTGATCGGAAGATTCTTTAATGTTGAGCCGTTGAGACAGAGCCCCTTGAGTTTCTCCATACGCCCAATTGAAAAGTCCAATATCTCGACACATGTTCCTTCTAAACTTAAATACTCCATTTTGTCTGAAGAGAATGAAAATTCCTTGAGACTAGAGCAACCACAGACATCTAGGTGTAAGAGAGATTTTGATGGACTCTCACATTTCAAACTTTTTAGGTTTCGGCAGTCACAAAGTTTCAGATCTCTCAATCTTGGGAGAGATAAAATTGATGGATGAAGATGCCGTAAACTTTCACAATCTGTCAGATCAGCCTGTTTAAGATTTTGGGCTGTTGAGAAATCTGGCAACTCTATCAATTGTTTGGACCCAGCAAGGTCTATCTCCCTTAACTTCACAAAGTTCTGCAACAATTAAAAAGAGAAATATTACATGAGAAGCAAGATTCTCAAATTTCAATTAAATTATAAAGAAAAAAATTAAAACTTTTAATTGTATGTTTACCGGCATGCCATCCCATAGTTTTTCAAGGTGGCTACCTTGCATGCGAAGTACGACTAGTTTCTCTGCACAAAATGACAATGGTAGACACTTGGAAGGAAAATTGTCCCATTGAAGACACCTTAATGAATTGGGCAATGACTCAAGCCCTGAAGAAAGATTCACAGTACACGATCCTTCATGCCCATGTGAATAATGGAATTTTAGAAACCTTAAATTAGGCATCTTTCTAAAGACATCAGCACTCAATTCCAAATCTTTAATTTGAGACAAATCTAAACTTATGGCTTGAATTGCATCATTTCCCTGAACAGCACAAAAATCCAAAAGAAAGTAAATAAATTACTTTATGTTAACAATTTCGTTTAAGTAATTGCAAAATGTCTAATTAGAAAGGTAAATGTTTTTCTTACTCGATCATTTTTTAGAACATCATAGATCTCATCAGGCTTCCATAGTCGACTACGTCCTCCAGGATTTGTGATGCACTCTTGATGAATAATGTCGAAAGCCATTGATTGAATTAAATCATGCATCCATACTGCATCACAACTGACACTTATCAACGCCTTATCCATAAGGGTTCTCAAACCATTGCTTGCCTCAAAGCCACAGTACTCTAGCATTGCTTCTACATAACTTCTTAATTCACCTTTGAAAAAACAAGCAATGTCTAAAAATATCTGTTTGTCCTCATCATCAAGCCCATCATAGCTCAATTTTAACACAGCTTGAATATCTCGATGGGGTGTCCTTTCTAATTTCCTCAATGCACTTTCCCATTCTTTTACAGTTCTGGAATAAAGGAATGAACCCAAAATGGTTAAGGCTAATGGAACGCCTTGGGCATAAGCAAGAGCTCTTTCAACTAGTTCTTCATATTCACTTTTATAGCCATCTTTGCAGAAGGCTTTAAGGTTGAAAACCTTAAGTGAATTGTTGTAGCTCAATGCCTTGGCCTCATGTATTCTCTCAACTCTTCCATCAAGTACATGCTTATCTCTACTTGTTATGATGACTTTACTACCACGTCCTAAAAGAGGAGCTTCGCTTTCCAAATAATCTAACTGCCTTGTGTTGCTCACATCATCCAGTACAATCAAAACTTTTCTATGACTGAGTCTTTTAAGAGATGTATCCTTTAATAGTTCATGGAAAAGTTTATCATGCACATATTTTAACCCATGCTTTTCTGACTCTTCCCTAAAATTTTCTAAGAAGCAGCAACTATGAAATTGAGAGTGGAGTTTGGTAAACATAGCCTTAGCCATGGTTGTTTTGCCTATCCCGGCCATACCCCAAATCCCAACCATCGAGAATCCTTTTAGTAACAGCTCAATATGATCCAAATTCTCATAATCAATTCCGACAATATTATCTAATACAGTTGTTGGGGACCCATGGTTTAGTTTTTTGTTGATGTCCATGACAATATTTTGAATGAGTTCTGCTTCATCCCTATTATAAGAAAAAGAATTGCACAAGAAAATATTAATGCATCAAATGAAACTTAAGGAATGATTTAAATAAAGTGACAACTAATTGATGGCAGTTTTTTTCTTTGGTGACATGGTAAGATAATTATTTAATAAGTGACTAATTTCTATAGAGTTTTATCAAAATTGTGTGTATATTTTAATTTCCCCCGTTTTCAAAATTATCAAGTAGAATTCTATTAAGATTTCATCGATTTCTACTCTGGTAAACAGGACATTTGTGAATAATTATAGAGATAAGATGTTATATACTGTTTGTTTTAGAGAACAAGTTTTTATAACTTTGAAAATTACAGACAAATGCCGTAAAATCTTATCATTTTTGTGAAATTTAGAAATATGTGCAAGTTTCATTTGATCATAAGAAATAGAGAGCACACGGGCAGGGTAAAGCCCCAGTCAAGAATAAGCAGGCTGCATTTTGCGGCCAATTGCCTAACCTTTCTTGTAGAATCCCTAACTATTTTGAGTTGGGTAAGAGTGAGTTAGATGCAGGGCAAGCTTCCCTATCTAAATAGTGATGCCTTGTCTATATGTGAAAAAAATCTACAATTTAAATCAACTTTATTACTTTTGCTGTTTTAATTGATTTCTTAATTTGTATTCTAATGTGAAAGAAAAATATAAATATAATATATAAAAAATATCAAATGGTGCTTGAAACTTTAGAGGTGCGGTGAGAGTTCTTCAATTAGGACTGATGTGAATGATGATAAAATATAATTTATACTTGTTTTGTAATATGATATAATAAAATCAATTCTAGCACAGAAAAATTTCACCGAAAAATTGTCAAAGTCAAACTTGCGGAACATATGAAATTTCACGTTCCTTTTGTCTTTCATTTAATCTTTCCAAATTTCACATTCACATCAGTTCCAAACATCATAATATAATATATTAATATTACATTATATATACTATATATATATTCAAGCAGGGTTAAACGGACAGAGCAACATACTTTATTCAACACACACACACACACACACATATATATATATATATTTTTCGGGTTTCTTCTTTTTCTTTCAGACTGGACTGGGATTTTTTTTTTTCTGGACACAGAGTCTCATGAACACCCCTATTAAGAAATGTATACATAATTTACTCTACTATATATGAGTTATTCGTATATTCATAATGACAATTAATTAAAGAAGGGTAGAACATTTATTTAAAAAAAAGAGTAAAATCTTTACTCGTGATCTTATTTTTCCAGTACACATAGCATCTTGATTTTTTTAGTGGTAAAATTATAGGTAAAATTACACTACTAAAATGATTAAATGCTAAATATACATGAAAAATAAGATCAAAAATAAAATTCACAGTTGCCAAAAAAATCAACTTTGGAGGTGAAGTATCCAATTTTGAGATGACACCGTTTAAATAATATTTTCTTCATATAACCCCAATAAATTAAAGAAATTAATTTTATACTCGTATGGTGCTGTTTATTAAAAAGAAAAGATTATTTTTTGTCCTATTTATTAGTCACTTTATTAAATTTTTAACATGGATGTACTATTTTGTCCTTTATTCATTATAGTGTAGATAAATTTTTTTTTGAAAGATAGATATATATTAAATAAAAATAATGTTAAAAAATTACTATATTTTAATAAAAAATTAATACAGTTTAATGTTTTTCTTGATTCGAATAAAGGTAGAAGTTCCTTAAACATCAAATACTCACTGCCAGACCAGTTAATTAGTTGTCAGAGAAGCTAATATGAAAAGAAAAAGCAATCTCTACGATGACGAAGATCAATCAAAGGAATAATAAAAGCATGAAACTCTCAAGTCATAATTGCTAATGAAACTGTGATTCAAAGATTGAGACTTATTAGAGAATGAAGAGGGACCTGTAGTTGCCGGAGTCCCATCCTGCTAGACTTGCAATCTCAAAAAGTGCTTGTCTCCACTCCTCCACCTTCTCTGGGTTTTTCTTGAAATGTTCTGAGAATGCTTTCTCATAAGTTCCTTTCTGATTGCGCACATGAGATGGGTCGATTTCGTAGAAGATAGGAACAACAATCTGTGCCTGATGTTGTTTGCAGCGAAGGATCTGAAGGAGCTCATTCAAACACCATTTGGAGGAGGCATAGTTTTCAGAGAAGACCACCATAGAGATGGATGAATCCTGAATTGCTTGCATGAGTGATTGGGAGATGTCATCACCTTTTGGGAGCTCATAATCTATGTATGTCTCAATATCTCCGACGCACAAGGCAGTATGGAGATGGCTGGTGAAGGATCTGCGAGTGTCCTCTCCTCTGAAACTCAGAAACACTTCATATTTCCTGGACGAAGAAGATGATGATGGGGAAGCTATGGCAAACATGATATTCTGATTACTCTCTCTGTCTTCTTTGCTGAGAAATGGCAAAAGTGAACTGATGACGGAGTACGTATGGCAGCGGATAGACTTTTTTCACCTTTTCAAGTCTTCAAAACCAAATGACACGGCATCTGATACTTTTTTTTTTTTTTGGTTACATGAGGGGCAGGATCGAACCCGCACATTACCAACACACGCACACACTAGGTGCCACTCCGCCTAGAGGCGGTTGGCGGCATCTGATACTTTTACCCTTTTCACATTGGAATTAATAGCAAATTTCATTCCCATCCTAGCCCCCCACCTTTCTTTTACCGACAAAAAGTATAGATAAAAGATTATGACAACATTGTCCCTCATATATACCATGAATTAAAAGGAAAGGTTGCACCTTCAATTGTAGGGTCCGTTGTCTCTGAATGGGTGTTACCTTTTTTTTGTTCTCCCTCCCTTTGCATGTGAATGGTTGGCACGTAAAAGATGGTGCTGATGCTTCATGCCAGGGTAATTGCTGTTAGTATTTTTTATTTTTAATATAAGAATTACTTAGATAATTTTGATATATTAAAAAAGTTAAATAAATTATTTAATTCTAATAAATATGACATGGTTTTTTTAAAATATTTTTATAAACTATCAAATTATATACTAATTTATAATATAGATAAATTATTCTAAAAAAAATGATAAATATGATAGGCAAAGTAGATTAAAATCTTATATTTAAAATCAAATATAACTCCAACTAGTTTAAAGAACTTAGGAGAGTAATTGTTAGCAATTACGTGGTCAATAGTTTTTGCAGGTGTGTTCAATGATAGGTTCTAATATTTGTTATTTTTTCGACCAAACTAAAATATACTATTATTCAGAATTCAAGTCTTTGGCAGAATTGCATGCATTGGCCTTCATATTAAATTGGCGAAGGGAAATTCCAAAAAAAGAAAGTAATTTTCTAATTATTTTTAGAAGTTTTGTTCATAGTATTTTCTCCCCTTATTTTTAACAATTTTTTCCTCCATCCAAACCAAACATGTGTTATATTTGACCATATAACACAGACTATACAAGGATATAGGAACTTGTAGGACATTGGAAACTCTTTGGGTTTCCTCTAAGTAGAAAATTAAATTGTTTTTATAATTATCAGCAATCCTGAAAACAAGACAATTTCTTTTTTAAACTCTTTAAATTTACATAAATGCTATGTATAGTAAGTTTAACTTGCAAACTCATTTTTTTACCTTGAAGTATATTTCGATGTTACTTGTACTGTGACAAAACAAATTGGAATATGTAAGAGACCCAGATGTCAGATTAAAATGCACAAGGTTTGAGAACCAATACACATAGCAATAATGCAAAAGCCCTACCAACACCGACCAATCAACTACAAGAATAATTACCACATTCACTGTAATATGACAAGTTGGCTTGTGCCTCATATATGTTAAGAAAAACTAAAAAATTCTTATAAAAATGATTAGAAAAAGTGCCTTGAACTTGAAGCTCATAATCAATAAAAATAATGTTGAAGATGTGAAAAATGCGGTTTCATTCGTAAAGGAACCTCTCTGTATAATCGACTTGATGATGATGATGATGTGATGGCAGGTCCAGTTTAATAGTTCATGTCTATTATTAGCGGTAAAAAATAGAAAAGTAAAACAAAAAAACAAAAGGCAGTTGCCTTTTCTTTTTTCTTAAGCATAATATAACGTTATGACTTGCTTCCGTGAATTTCTGGAGCACACCCCTTTTATTGTTGGCCCTTTCTCAATCTTATTTCAGATTTTATATAGAATGAATTTTGTGCAATTATCATGAGGCTAATCCGGTTCGGGATTTGTGGCTTCCTTTCCCTACAAAAGTGTCTTTTTTGTGGGATTTGAACTCATATCCAAAGAGACCCCCCTAGACTAACACGTGACTTTATGTTTTTTTTTTGTTGGTTTAGTTTAACCTGAAATGGGTTTGGGTACTAAATGGATTAATAAATATCATGAATTAGTCAACACCCAATTTTATCCGGGCCCCACAAAAAAATTAAATTTAAATGAAATAAATAAAAAAGAAATAAAAGAATAATAAAAGAGTAATATTCTCTTTGATTCTTTTTGGAGGTTAAGTTTGAGAAATCCACCACGTGACAAATCAAAAAGAAAAATTAAATAAGAATATCCTCCCTACAATAAATGGCAATTAAAAGCCAATTGACCTCCAAATTAGAAAATACAGGATGGAGTCCTTTAAAAAAATAAAATCAAAAATAAAAATCAAATTTTCTCATTTAAGATGATTGACTCCTCAACTTAGAAATATCTTTTGAAGTCATAATAATTGTAAAAAATTTTGAAAACAAAATTAAAATAAAAAATCACAATTTCATGACGATTTAGTGCTTAAATAGTAATTTATATTATGAGTCATAATTAAGAAAAATTAAAAACAAAAATTAAAGAAAAATTGAAAAACTCTAGGTGGGAGGAAGGGACTTAGAATTTTTCAATGAAAAATGAGGCAAGTCAATTGATAAGTGGAGCATCAGGTATGAACTTCCATTCTTATCTGCTGTGTTTAACTTGAATTTCTATAAAGCATTTTTGGATTTTCTTTCTTTCTATTTTTGAAAACGCATTTTTAAATCTGTACTATTTGAGATTTTTAGAACCTCCTGGATCCATTAGTAAACTGTGTGAGATTATAAAAGCCCCGCAAGAATACCAATGTAGTTGTGCAAGTTTTTGTTTAAAATAAAAAGAAAAAAATAATTTTGACCCATGTTTATAATAAATAATAAAATAATTTTTTAAAAAATATATATATAATCTCAAAATATTTTTCAGCATGTTCGAACGATCAATGAAAGTGGTTGCTGTAATTCAGTGAATCACGACACCAACTTTGTGATTTCTGATTTACTTTAATTTTTAAATCTTCACAGCTAAGTAAGTGCTTGCTTTTGTCGTCGGCCACAGGGAAGATACAACGTAAGGAGGAGGGGCAAATGTCAAATGATGGCACATTAAGACTTGAAAAATTTGAAATGCATTTACTGCTCCTTCAACGGTTATTTCCTTTAATCTTAATCAAAGCTGCCGCTTCTTTTGAAAATGCAAATCCAAACACAAGTGAGATGGCTCTGCCATGCTTTTCCATTAAAAAGTTGAAACGTGATTCCAAACATAAATTCAATTATTTTCCCGATACAAACAACTTTTTGGGCCTTTCAGCCCCATTTTTCTGACCAAAGACTTAAAAAATAAAACCAAGTAATTAAATACTAACGTAATTAGGGTTGCATTATGATATCCATTGCTACTGCTATAGATATAATTATCAATGCTTTGGCAAAAAAAGAATAATTATCAATAAGCAAAGACTTGATTTATTCTTCTAGAAAAATTTTATGGAACTAAAAGTCAAGGAATATATATCTTTTTGTAAATCGTGCATTCAATGTAACAAAAATGAAATTTTAAGTAGGCTAGTATCTTGGGATTAGGTGAATTTTAGCTTGACATATACACTCTGATCCTAAATATGTAATTATTTGCAATGCGATTAGTTAATTTCCGCTGTTCAAGACAACTTAAATCTAGCTTGTCAACCACCAAAATCAAGCATATTTAAAGGGATAAATTATTAAAGAGGAGAGAGATTCTGCTGAGTGCTTTCCTCTTATCATGCACACAAAGGAAATTTTAACACAGTGGGTCTAGCTTGTCTTGCATCATGAGTAAATTTTAACACTGCTTGAATATCTTGATGGGCCGTCCTTTCTAATTTTCTCTATGTACTCTCCCATTCCTCTGCAGTTTTGGAATGAGGAAGAGCTAAAGTGGTTAAGATCAGTTTACTGGGTTGCCTTGGGCATAAACGCCTGGTATTTGAACTAGTTCTTTATGTTCACTTTTATAACCATCTTTGTAGAAAGCTTTGAGGCTGAAAAGCTAAGGTGAATTGTGGTAGCCCATTGCTATGCCCACATGTATTTTGTCAACTTCTCCATCAAGTAAATGTTTTATCTTTACTTGTTATGATGATTTTACTACTACCAGGTCCCAGAGGAAGAGCTTCACTTTCCAAATAACCTAACTGACTTGTGTTGCTAATAACATCAAAGTGTAACCAAAACCTTTTTACAACAGAATCTTTCAAGAATATATCCTTTGATATTTTATAGAAAAGTTTATTGTAAATAATATGTGTAGGTGTGTTACGTTAATTTATTTGGGGGGGGGGGGTTGCAAATCTATTGGTTTGTCACAATATCAACCAATATATTTCATGAGCATTAAACTTAACGCACTACAAAAAAAAAAAAGAAAGGAAATTAGTGATGGAATTTAGCAACGAAACTTTATTCCATCGCTAATCTGTCACAAATTCCGTCACTATAGTGATAAAAAAATTTCTGTTGCTAAATTAGTTACTGATTAGTAACGAAATTTTAATTCATCATAAGTTCGTTGCTAATTCTGTTGTAAATGATTAGTGAGGAAAATTAGTCATGGAAAAATTTTGTCACTAATTCCCATCACAAAACATTTTGTGACGAAATTTTTCAGTCACTAATTTATGTTACAATTCCATTACTAATTCGTCACAAAAAATATAATATAAATAGATAATAATCTTTAATGCTTATTATTAAAATAAAAATATAATATATCATAATTTTTAAATAATATACTCCTCCTGGTCTTTAATATAAGACCAATTTAACTAATTTGATTAGATTAAAGAAGTTAGGCAAGTTAGTTAATTATAAGAAATATGACATATTTTCCTAAAATATCATAATCATCTTTTTTTAATATCCTCTCCCCCTCTTCTATTTAATTATGGTTGAGGAAGTACCTATAGGGGTAATTTAGAAAAAATTAATAAATATGAGAAATAGGTCTTATATTTAGGACCAAAGTTAACTCAACAATTAGTTCTTATATTAAGAACCAGATAAGTATTATATAAAAATAAAAAATACAAATATTATAAAA